TTATTGATAACTCACATTTTCTTCGGCCTGTTCGACGCCAGTGGCTATTAGAGATTCATTTGTGAGTGACTCGTACTCGCTGGGGTCGATTTGGTCTTCGCGGAGGACGGGTAGAGGTGTCTTGGTGTTTAGCTTCTTGTATCGCACCTTCCGGGTCGACATGGCGGTCGGCGGTGTGCAAGGGCAGTGGGGGAGAAGTCGCGAAAGTGGCCGGAAAAAACCCGAAAAAAATCGGGAGCCCGAAAGTTTAGGTCATGCGACGATGAAATCTGATATTTTTAGAGACTAAAAATAATTTCTTGGTGGTTGTTTTGATGGCCGAATTGTCGTCGTTGGATGAGGTGACGTTGAATTGTTTGGGGCGCAGATTTTTCGCTTGGTCCGCGCAGCAGCAGGCAGCCCAAGCACAACAATGCGGTATGTTTGGTTGGGGGGGGGCGGCGGGGGCCGGGGCGGCGGCGGGCGCCGCCCCGCCCGCCCCCCCGCGCCCCCTCAAGAGCGCAGTGTGGGAGATGAGAGCCCAGAAGCAAAGGAGCCCCACCTTAATACCTAACGCCTTCCGCCGTCTGGCCTAGTAACCACCTGTGTGGGCGAGTTTTGATTGGTTGCAGCTACGCAACGTGCAATTTTGGGCAGCCGTTTTGGGGGAGGGGAAAAGGGGGATATGGGCCTGATAAAGCCCGCTACAGAGAACAACCTTAGCAGTAGGTTAGGAGGTACTTTGCTACAGCGACTATCTCTTACTCCAAGTAATTCCTGCTTTGCTTGGTAACTAAAACGACCTGAACGACCCCTTTTTTCCTCTCTCTTCATTTCGCAATATAACGCGTCAGAATTGATAAGCCGAAAAGAACAATGAAATACCTACCGGAAAAAAGGGGTGACGAGCAGATACGCCACCATCTCATTGAAATTTTCAAGTAGATTTTCTTCGTTGCGACAACACAATTTTATTTCAATACAACCCTTTCGCGCCTCTTAATGATGACTTTGCATCTTTGTTTTCGTCTTTGTATGAGTTGGTACTTGAGATTCAGTCTTTCTCGGCTGTCATACCGAGTCAATTACGTAACCTAGAGTGATACGAAGTAGTCCTATTCAGCCAGCCTGCCAGCCTGCCAGCCCACCTGTAAGTGGATGATAAGATAGTGTCACCGACCCCAGCCAAAGCTGCTGAGGTGTGCACCTTAAAAAGATCTTGGTCGCCTTACAGGAAGGACCCCACCAGCCCACATTCACACCATTCACACCCGACAACACTCGACACTCTCCTCAGCCTCACCCTGGAATCTTCGACATTCGACCATCTGGCGAACTTGAATATCTTTTCCAACCGGCGACGAATACCAACGATCTTACATTGCTGCGAATCCAGCCAACACGAATAGCCGACTCGATCTAATTACCACCTCGAAAGCTCAGTGTTCCTTCTACCACTCCGCTCATCGCATACCCTCCCAATCCAACTAGCTCCTATCCCCCTATCCCCCTCCGTCGAGGAGCCGTCCAGCACCATGGGCAACACCACTAGTGCCGTGCTCGATAACATCGTGCAAGGGTCGAACTGTACGTTTTCGGGCATCTGCTAGGGCTGGCCGAATATGATCCTAATTGCGCTCGTGTAGTCGACCGAGAGGAAGTAGATAGACTGAGAAAGAGGTTCATGAAACTTGATAAAGTAAAGCTCGATCAGGCCCACACGTACCTATCGAGCTCGATTCTAAGATGCGATATCACAGGATAACTCGGGCACGATCGAACGAGACGAGTTTCTTAGCTTACCACAAATATCATCCAACCCCCTTGCGACAAGGTACACCCCTCCCGTCCTGTCCCCGGTGTTTGCTTGACCCTTGAAGTCCTCTGCACCAGACTTTCGCAGTACGGCCGAGATAGCTAACCGAGATGTGCTTTGCGACCAACAGGATGATCGCCATCTTCGACGAGGACGGCGGCGGCGACGTGGACTTCCAGGAGTTCGTGTCGGGGCTGAGCGCGTTCAGCAGCAAGGGGAACAAGGAGCAGAAGCTCCAGTTCGCGTTCAAGGTGTACGACATCGACCGGGACGGGTACATCAGCAACGGCGAGCTGTTCATCGTGCTCAAGATGATGGTCGGCAGCAACCTCAAGGACCAGCAGCTGCAGCAGATCGTCGACAAGACCATCATGGAGGCCGACCTGGACAAGGACGGCAAGATCAGCTTTGAGGAGTTCACCAAGATGGTCGAGAGCACCGACGTCAGCATGAGCATGACCTTAGGTGAGTGGTTTTTTTTGTTGTTTTTTTTTTTCCTTTTCCTCTTTTTAGTCGAGACTCGTCTTCTTTCGAGGCAGATTGCTGACCGAATTTACGTTCTACAGATCAGTTCTAGATTCACATGTAGCTATACTAAAATACGGCCGTAGTAATGAATCATGACACTTGGGACACTGTCCATTGGAGCGGAGTTGCATCTGCTCTTTCCCGGAATGCAAATTTGATCTCATGCGAAGGGAATTGATCAGCATGAAATTGTGCTAAACTGTGACGAGCGGCGCTATAGCAGTGCCAAGCACATGCATCGTCTAAGCCAGAGTCGTATTTCAAAGTATTCATCTGCATCGAACTAGATTGACAGATATCCTACTACTTAATGAAATATTTAAATAGACGTGATAGTTGCTATATAGTATTCTCGACTAGCAGGTTGGATTAAAGATCTATTTCTATAATCGAAACATGAGACTATTTCTAATGAGGAAGGCAAAGTGATCCCTGATCATACTACTGGTGTTTCCGTTCGACTCAGGGGTATGTCAAATATACTATTCAGAGCTATCATAATTATTCCCAACTATCATTAAATCTCCCGACGCTCATCTATATATACATCATGATGATAGCAAGCTCATAGGATAATCATAGGCAAGTTGAACGTCCATTGCGAGAAGCAGGAGACGTGTTCCTCTCATGCGTCTGGTCCATGTTTCCGAGTGATGGAACCAAATCAGGTAGGTATATAAACCAACATAGCTAAAAAAAGGGGACAAAAAAAGCTCAGTCGAAGAACTGAATCTCCGACCTACGAAAAACCACAGTGAATAATTTGACACACCAATTCTTATGACACGCCAACATGGGTACCAGGTCACGGGCTAGCGGCCATGGATTATTCGGTCGTGGTTTTCTCTAGCCACAAGTCACCCAGGATAACTAGATCCTATGTTGCGGGGAAGGCTGAATATCGGTACTGTGATGTGCCTTATAGCCCTTTGCTTCGTCACCTGCAGGCAGTTTGGTTGTTTGGCCCGAAATGTACCCGGCTGCCCCGGACTTCGCAGCACCTGTTGGCGCGTACCTTGCTTGGGTGCTTGACAGCTGCCCAGTCTGCCGGCAGTGGTTTTTTGCTGGGCCGTTTATTGGCATGGGCTCCAAAGTATGAGAATACGATGTATCTCGGGTACATATGGGTGGTTTAATGTTGAGCACTCACACGTGTAATTGATGTAGATCAGGGGAACTCATTACTTTATGCATATTGCATACGCCCCTGGATGTCATGGGTAGATATATGCCGTTTGACCTCAAAGCCGCAGCTCCTGATACTCAGCTTCATAAGTCATAAGCTAAAGACTGGTCAGCGTACTTGTTTTGATTTCCCATATAGATATCGTGGTTAACAGATGGCATTTCGTGGAATTATATCTTAGGCAACTTACAATCGATGTGGTAGGCTAGCAGTGCACTTGGCTGTAACTACCTGTCTACCTAGGCGGCCCCATACTAGGTACCAGAAGATAGTCACTTCGTAGTTACGGCCATATCGTACCTGGTTTGAGATAATGCTGAGGGCAATAGAACAGCTGAGCACTTAGGTAGATGCTTGCCTATCACTCTGCGCCGAGAAGCAGTGGAAAGGGGCTGATTTCCTTGTCCATAGGAAGGTCGGCCAATGAAACAGAAATACAAAGCGTACCGGCTCTCGTCGAAAACGGTGTACAGAGCCTCCATTCCTTAGACATAAGATCGACATATCCTTATATCTTCGAAATTTGTCGCCTCTGTTTGTAAAGTACATGGTCTTCGCCAACGCTGGCATCTACCCATGCTTCTAGCTTTATCCCAACTGCAGAGCCAGGTACAACGAGCTAGGCAGGTTGGTGTATGACTTGTAGGTTCGAATGACAACCCGAGTTAGCCCACAAGCAAATAGCTGATTGAAAAGTGACATCTAATCAGGGACCCGATGAAGAAAAATTCGAAAAAAAAGAAGAAAAGATATGGCCAGCTAGGGAATCGAACCCCAGAGTCTAGGAATATTCATTGTCACACCTATGAGGATAATCTAAAGAGGGTCTTCAATAGACTGCACCAACTCGGCCCTTGCTGACACGTCTGGGTCGTAATTAGTTAAGGTTTAGTACCTATGGTTTATATGTCTCTCTAGGTTACATGATAAATAAGCACCAATCGCCCAAACATCTGAGGATATATTTGATTTCACCAATAGAAGGGAAATTGCTTCCATGAATCTAGGTACTAGGTATACTAGACATCCAGTCGTATCTATTAAAACAATTTCAATATACAACTTATTGCTGAAGCGTTCCACGGATACTGCCGGCGAAGATGGATCAAGTAGCAGCTACTCGATGTACGCCTCAAGCAATCAAAGACAGAATGAAATTAGGGGAGGGCCGAGTGAAGCTCCCATCCAAGTGAAGTGACACTTCGTGATAAGCAAACCCGTTCATAAAATACGACAGACGAGAGATTCATATATACTAGGTTCAGTCTATTGTGTATTGAAACAGGCACACATATAGTCTCCTTGGTGAACATTTCTGATGTCAACCACAAAGAGAATATAGCCAATAGCGAAAGTGCCCACTTCATTCTTTCCAGAGATAAACATTCAACAGCAAAAATTACCTACATCTCTTATGACAGAGAACCTTATCGACTATAGTCACAATATTAATTTACCCCTATCTATGAAAAAAAGGGAAAAAAAGAAAAGTTCCGATACGAGGAATCGAACCCCGGGATCCCTCTCTAGAAGAGAGGGTATGTTACCATTACACCATATCAGGCTTGTTGTTGTTGATTGATAGAGTGCTGTCAGTGGTAGACAGCTTGCTAGATGTGCCTATGTGTTATCCTCCCCTCCAGCCACTGTGTTACCCGAGCTATAGGGGGATATGCGGTAAGATTATAGGCCATGTGTCCATCTCCCGTTTAGAGGATTGACGACACATAGCGGCCGTAAGCCTTCATTAATGTTATGTATTGGATAGGCAGAAGTGACGATCGCAGGATAGAGGTGTTGATTCGACTCTCCATCTTGAAAAAAGAGCATAGATCACGATGGGAGACCCTTTAATATCGCCACATACATTAATCACCTTATTCATCATTTATTGTAAGAATTTATCATGTATTGAGTATATGTTCCACCCGACACTCTCGCTCCATCTTTCCCATCTCGGGAGACACATATTGATGGGGGGTATCTATATGGACACCTATCCATCCACTAGCCATCAGAGACAAGCAACCCGGGAGTGTTTGTCTCGCGGCTAGCCGCAGCAGCAGTGAGCCGTTGCAGCGAGATGAGATGCAAGATTCTGCACGCTGGAGAGGAAAAGATTCGCGATAGTGGACTTGGTCAAAACCAGTTAACCACCCACCTGTTGTCACACACCCCCTCGTCATCACATAGATAAATGATACTACGTAGCAGTCAATCTTTCCCGCACACCTGGGAGCTGTGGAGTTGCTCCCATATACTACCACCAGGCTCCGCACCTAAGAAATGAGACAAGTTGGTCACCTGCAGGAAGGTTGCTTGCTTGACACAGCCGGGAGCGACCCGTGAAACAAAAGGAAAAAAAGAAGGGAAAAAATCTGCGACGAACCCGAACCTACATGCATGCATGTACGTATCTGGAGACGTATGCATGTACGATGATGCCTGCATGCATGCATGTTGCGTAACGAGATGGATATTATCTTGAGTGAGTGATGGAAGAAACCCGCCTGGGACCCAACGACGGCAGCTCATCAACGAACTGGATCTACCTACCGTGCGTGGCGCGGAGGCCAGCCGATCGTGAGGGATTAGAACGTCATCCCAATAGAGAAGACATCGAAGCTTGGGCGATGAGTAAACACTGTATAGATCAGCGTCTCGTAGGAAGCGAGCTCGTTGGTTCGAATCCAAAGCAATATCACATTCCCCTAGTGGTCGAAACAGGCTTCAATTAGCTCATATAAGCCGCCCGTTACACTTTTCTTGCTTTGTGTGTGATAAGTGTGGCGCGGGTACTTGCATTGGCGGGATTTCCCCCCTTTTTGGCCTTTGAGGATACCTACTGGGGGTGGGACGGCAAGTTGCTTTGTCGGCGAGCGCGAATCGTGACAAATGATGATAACACTGAGATATCAAGTATTCGATCCATTGGCGCCGAACTTCGCCTCAGATCTCAGGTTCGTGACGGCGCTCGGGTGACCGGGGATATTGTAGATCTGATTTGGCTGTACCTCTCCGCTTCATTTTCAGCTGCCCAGTCGCGGAAAACCTATACTGCTACCTTAGCCACATAAGAAAATTGCGACGTCAGGGTTCTTGGGACCTCAGGGTTTCTTCTGTCAGCCTCATTTTCCAATAGTCTGGGCTGGGGTGACACCGGGGCTTGCAGTACGTACAACACAGCCCTACATGGGGTCACTCATAATTCTTCATTTTGCGAAAGAAATAAATCAGGCTAGGTTGGAAAAGGGTCCCCTGGCGGCCTCGACGAACACCACCGCTGTCCCGGGTATCTGGTTAGGGTTTGATGGGGGGGAGTGGGAGGATGACAAGCTTTGACATCGGTTGATGAGACACAGCTAACGATGTGTTTGAGATGTCGTACAAACATGTCGAAGCTCCACGGGAAATTAATTCCCCTCAATGAGATCCTCCAATGTTGTGGGCAATGTGGCAGCTTGTTTGCTGAGTTGTGTGTTTCAGCAGGAGCAAAATTTCAGCTTGCAAACAGAGAAACAAAAAAAGGATCCATCCGTCCCTGTCTCGGTGTTACGTGACATACTGACTGGGACCATACATGCTGTATTGCGTCCCCTCCGAAAAAAAAAATGGAAGAAAGAAAAATAAAATTAATTCCTCCGCCCAATAGGTCCCCCCATGTCGATTGTTTTCATGGGCGGGAAGCGCAGATCATTGACCCGAAGCAGAGAGGGTGCGAGTCTAACAAAAGGTGACAGATCACAAAATTGGAGTTATTTTGGCAACACCGCATCTCTCATTTTCCCCCCATGACTAACCTAGGTGTTTGCGTTCGACCATGGGGGGAGCCCTGGCAGACTGTTCTTCCCATACGGGGACGGCGGCAGTTTGGGTGTGTCAGCGCGAACGGGTGTGTGTGCTCGGACCTATCAGGCAGAAAGAGGCCCTGGAGGCTTAAGCCAGCCACTCCCTACCCGTCCATGGCGTCGGGTCCGATCATATCAGTGGTTGCTTGACCGAGCGACCACACACGAAACCCCCAAGGGAGATCGCCAGCTGAATGATCTTCGCGGGCTGTCAGAAACGAAACACTAACCTAGCAAGCCGCTAGGTATAACACACACACATACATACCACAGCTGAATCGGAAAAATTTCCGAGATTTGGCTTGCATCGCGCCTTTTCTTTTAGGCCGCTGTCCAATCAGTGGGAAGCCCCGGCCGCAAATGGTAATTCTTAAGAAGGGGGGCCCTTTTCTTCAAGCCATTGAGTCGATCGATCCCCCACGTCTTTCCAAAAGGAAAGAAAAGGTGATGCGAAATATTCAGGGTCTATTGAGCTGAATCGACAGGGTCGTAGTGGGGGAGTGGGGGGTTGGTTATATTGGCGCGCTGGAGACAAAAAGGGGTCAGCCATCAGAAAGGATTCAATACAGTGATGACTATTATTGATATTCTCCAGTCAATTGAAAGCGAAAAATGAAATATGACAGAAAAAGAAGAAGAAAGACATAATGTAATACGATTGAAATCTTCGGAATTAACTAATTCAGTCGACGTCAGAAGCAAATAGCTTCTTTCCATGCCGCCAGGGCACCTACCCGATCAGAGCGACTGATTCGTAAGGTAGTCGCCCTACCTCCTATCTCCTGAATAGCAGAAATTGGGATTGACCATGCGTGCATACACCTTGTAGTGTAATGCTGGATAGTCTAATTTTTTGTCCCTAAGGCCGGTATGTGTACAGGAAACCCAGTGGATAAGCTCGTGAGAGCATCAACACCTCTCTAGTCTATTCTTTTGGACCGTTCCCTTCCATCCCAGCCGTCCCAGGGGTATTCGCAAATCAACGTCAGCATCGTACATCCCAACCGCGCCCGCACCGCATTAATCCATGTCCTTATTGTTTTTCTATTCCTTCTTTCTCATTGCTTTTCCGTTCCTTCCTATCACTTGCTACCACCTCAGCCGCAGTTTTACCCCTGCTCCTTTTTTTGCCGGCCCCATCCAAGTCCATGTGCCCAGCTCCAGGCTGACAGGTTACCTCTCAGGTATAATGGAGCAACGATCCATAACCAAATGAGGGAAATTCACTGCCTCGTACGCCGACTCCATGCTACCATCGTCACTCGCTAAACTCCCCGACCCTTGGTCGCCATCCATGCCCAATATTGGAGATGGCCGGTACCATTTTCGCGCATGGGGCGAAAACGATGGGTATCATAACCTGCTATGCAAATGATCATGATTGAATCGAACGCCCCGTGTATACCTGTATAAATCAGAACAACTTAACGCCTTCGATGCCTCGTGATATAATGGGATAGGTCGAAGGAGCCCTATCGAGAGGAGCGATGACCACGGCGGTCGGACCCTGTCGGGTTCGCAGCAGAGGAACCGGCAGCCCCGGCCTCGTCTCCGTTCTCGTAGAGGTCAAGGCATTCTTCGATGACTAGCGTGACGAGTTAGCAAGCTGAAAGACGCGCGTCGGACTGGAGACGTACCGGCAATGATATGTTCTTCCCACACACCATACTGGTAGTCCACTAGGCCGTGGCGATCGATGCTATCGCAGAGTCTCACGATCTCCTTTCCCATCTTTCTTAGTCCTTCTTCGCTGACTAGGGTCTGATGCTGTAGTTGCAAGCCAGTCTCCATCAATTCCTTCTGCTTCTGGAACAACGAGAGCCAGGCGTGGTTGAAATCTTGCCACATCTTAATTCTGTCCCTATACAGATTCTCATCGTCCGCTGTGAGGCCTTTAACAGTTAAACTTCACGATTGTCCACTTAGATACTGAATGGGTAGTAGACTCACCCAGTTCCACAACCTTAGAGAGGAGCCACTCGGAAATGTTCAATAACGAGTCGCTCGCAGCTTGCAGCGCCCCGCTTCGAATGTTGGTGAAAACCTCCCGCAGAGCCGTCTGGTACTGTTCGTAGGCTTCGCCCATCTCCGTAGTTTGCGTGTAGTCCTGGTCTTCCATGGTCTGATCTGGCGTGCTACCTGTCTGTGTCATGCCGCTCATTGGCGCCATTCCACTCGAGTAGTTTTGCAGCATCGTACGCTGGCCAGCAGGGCTCTGCTGATATACTGATGCTGTGCTCGAGGGGCCCGCATGTGGCTGCATACTGGACGCTGTGGCCGTGTTGGTCGGCTCGCTCGGAAAATAGGGGGTGGCTACATCCGTTTGCATAATCTGCATCGCTGCAGGTTGCCGCGAGGGAAACTGTTGGCTTGTATCGTACACGGCATTCTGCGCGCTTGTTTGCGGCACGCTGTACATCATAGTAGAAGCGTTGTATGTGCCAAAACTCGGCGCTTGTCGAGTATCTTGTCCATATTCAGACTGGTATGGCATCGCATTCTGCGGTACGGCAGTGGAGAAGGTCGCAGCCGGCTCTTGATAATAGCTACTGTAAGTAGCCGTGCCCCCTAACCCTCGAGCTGCCGCGGGAGATGTGTTGAGAGGTGCGGGCCGATACCTATCAGACCCGCTTGCGCCGTACGACCTCTCCTGTGCATTAGGGTCGTGAACAGGGTATCGGGAACTGGAAGGGGTAGTAAGGGGCGGTACGTTCGG